AAGCGACAACACTGTCGACAAGATATTTGAGCCATTACGAAAAAGTATAGATAATTTGTTGGTCGGTCAAAATCACGACATACACGACATCACAACCCACGATATATAGCGCAAGACCAGAATTGAATCAGTGACCATTCGAGCTGCAATCGAACGCTCTACTAGTGAGCTGCCCGCGCGTTTGAGTTAGGAAGCTGTTACTTGGTGATTGTGGTTCACCAAGCTCCCCACCAGGAGTCACGTTTCCCAGTCGTCTTTTGATCTTTGGTTCATTGAGCAAAAAATGAAAAGGTGATGTGACAATAACTTCTTTTCACGTACAATTAGATTTTATATTAGGGTTGATACAGTATAGTACATTTTGATAGCTAGGTACAAGTTGAGAAGTCATTACGTCTATAAATAATAATACAGACAAACCTTCAACTGAGCTACCCGCGCGTCCAATCTCTTATTTCAGCTGTTTGTTTTCACAATCATGATTGATAGCGCTGCAAATCATAAGCCATTCACATGCGGCCCAGCTATAAATTACTTACGTGATCTAGGTGCGAACATATTTTCCTTCTCTTGTCTAAGCAACAACACTGTAGACAAGATATTTGAGTCATTACGAAAAATTATAGAGAAATTTGATGGTCAGTCAAAGTCACGTCATACACGGCATCACGACCCACGATATATAGCGCGAGACCGGGATTGAACCAGTGGCCATTCGAGCTGCGATCGAACGCTCTATCACTAAACTACCCGCGCACTTCTCAATTTGCCGGCTACCCCATAATTCGCTCCTTCAGAAGAACCCCAAACTTCAAGCCGCTCTCTCTTCGCCTTTCCACGATGAATACTAACAAATTGACCACGTCAGCCACTGTCGCACCTACGTCAGCCGTCTTTCCACCACCTGTTGGACAGTCGCGTTGTGACGAATCTGGGTTTGCGTCTGGCTCTGCACCAGATATCCAGTCACCACCCAGTATCACGCTCAACGCAACTGACGTCCTCCCTATACTGGACCAATCAGCTGACATCCAGCCGCCACGTATTACTCTCGCAGCGACTCAACCATCCACGCCAGCCCAGCCTTTCGCACCCCCGTCGTCACCATCGCTCGCGTTTTCAGTGCCGTCGGCCTTCGAGCCAACAACTGCGGACGCCTCGGATGCTGATGAACCGATGAGCTCGCTACCTGATGGTGCCGCACCGCCAGCTCCTGCTGACACGCGTCCA